TAAAATTTTAACCGAAGAAATAGTTCTGCTTCTCTATTTTAATAACGAAATGTTTAGGTAATAAAGAACGTCGAACAGGGACACTATTGACAAAAGAGGTATTAAGATGATGTAATTGTGGAAATAAATTATTTATTAGGCCTATATATTTTATTTTGCTCCTCGGGTTTCATGAGCGGTGGGGAATATCGACTAGCCGAATGTACTGTTAGCTTCTCAAGAAGGGCTCTGCTCCCTGAAATTTTAATAGTTCCTTGTTTGTCATGTTTAAAAGTGCCAAAACCCACGGACAGTGTCAGTGATTTATGGCACTAATGATAGGTCAATAGGATCTACGTATAGCGATTCTACTGGACTTTCATTTTTAAAAAAACCACTATATGCCACCGATGAGTGGGGCCTTATTCTAATCTTAATTAAGAAATAGCGCGGCGCAGAAAATTACATCATTTCACAGTGCTTATCAAGTCTCAGGTCTTCTCCATTAGCATTTTCTCTTCCATTGGGAACCTACCCAATGGAATCCCAGCACTCAGGAAAACACAATTCACATCTTCACCAACCGTGAGAACCTCAAATCTGAGATAGATAGAACACTTTGTACGACAGTGGCCAGAGACAGTGAGGAGAACCGTAAAGCCCTAATCCCTTGGATAAAACCTTTGGGTTCAAGTTATCTATAGTCCTCTGAGAATAGAACCCGAAGGCTCAACGTCTCTGATATGAAAGCCTGCCATTGGACACGATGCTCTGGTAGTTCCATACGCCTTTCATCCTCTGAATCTGATTTGTTAATGTTATCCTTCTTCCTTTTTCTCTGGCTTTCTCGCCATACTTTTGTAGGTCTATGCACCCCAGCTCATCTAACGCTCCTAGAATTTACTGTACGCCAAATAACAACATCGGACTTCAGTTAATTACGACATACATCCTCGTGTTGTAGAACAATAATTATACTCACGTGGCCTGGCTCTTGTGTTTTGTTTTTAACGACGCCTGCCATAGTGCAGATGATGTAACGTCAAAAGGTGGGATCATTTAAGCCTATCCTGACATTTTCTTGAAGGAATACCACGAAACCCCTCAGTCAGGATAGGCGGTCTGAGGGCCGAGATTTGAACTCGCGACCTCCCAAACACAAAACAGGAATGCTAATTACTCAGCCTCTACGTTAAGTACGCTCCTTCGTGTCGTCAGAATAGTAGTTTTGAGGCATTTTAACGTGAAAACGGTATCAAATGATTTGTTATTTGCCCATGAATAAATAAGGTTGATGCCAAATTTTATTTCGTGTCATGTTCCTTCTTTTAATTGTGGTGTATTTATTCTTGGGACAATTGATTTGCGGGCATATATTATAATTTCTGCTCGTACCTAAGTAACGCCAGCACACACTTCCTGCTAGACCTTCGGATATCCCACAACGAGACATAACCCAGGCAGGACCAACCGCCTCCCTGAGTGAGATCATCTCATTCCTTCCCTGGATTCCTCTTCTAATTTTAGATACGTTTTAAGCAAACGATTGCTATCTCACCCCCTCCGTCTTTCTGTACACACATTCCACTTATCGTTTTCACGCTTATTCATTCGCTGTCGCTCTAGCCAACGTCTGTAAGTATTTTAAAGCTTGACGAACGTAAATTATGAGCCGGGAAACTTCGGTCGTAAAACCCACCATAACCTTACTACATAACAACTACAGGATGATTTTTTAAACGAGAACCCAGTGAATAGTGTGTACGAGGGAAGAGCTGGTGGTATTAAATGAGAACCCTAAACAGTGTGAAAACGTTTGGGTTCTTGTTTAAAAAAATCATCCTGTATTGTAAAACCACTTTTATACACTCTTTATTGGTCATCATCAAAGGTAGACATTTGCAGTAATTGGTTCGGACACAAAAATACATAATGACCCTCGAGTCAAATAAAATATCGTTATCAATATAGATTGAAATTGTATTAAAACATTAAAACTCTTTTAAATGTGTTTAGAAAAACTATATACTATTAAACCCTTTGTGCATGCTACATCCTATTTATATATTCTTCTCGATTTCATTTGTCCCTGAGTCAACAAAGTGACTAGCTATGGTGTAAAGGACCAGGGTTCGAATTTGTGTACGGAACAGGTTTCTTTGTTCGACGTTCACATCCAGATCGCCAATTAGTTCGCCGAACACTCTGCCTTCATGTGCACCTTGTAAAATATTTTGTTGTTCATTTTACCATTCTATGGTTTACCCTATTAATCATGGTTGGTTTGGGAAGTAAAATTGTTTATTTCTAATATCTGGCCATTTTTCGGTCGTTCGGGAACGTAACCCCGATATAAATTGCGCTTATAGGAAACAGCGATTAGCTTTACGAACTCCCTCCAGGAACGAAATTATTGATAAGAGCGGCAAATTCCCGAAGTGCTGGTCAGACAGTCCCATTCTCTGATCTTCAGGAAGCCACGCCGATGTCTGATGTCTTGTCTTCTTGCATTATCCACCCTCGCTGTCATCCGCTCTGTATGTTTTAATGAGCTCATTTCAGCTGTGCATTATTTCCTCCGCAGAAAACCATTCGCAAGATACAGCCGGACGGATTGAAACAGATATTCAACTTTAGTAACTGAAAATACGGATAGGTCTACTTTTCCAGAAGCTTATTAAAATAATCCTTTCTTATATTTTGTCCTTCCAAACGAAATGCAGAGAATAAGCTAACAGCATACAGAGCGACACAGACAGGCGGGAAGCACTTTAACTAACTCCGTGGACCAGAAGCTAACAGTTGCTCAGTTAATCAAATTATTTTCGACTTTTTATAGAATTATAAAGTTCACAAGAACCGACCACTGGACTTGATTAGCAACAGTGCATAATTAACATATACAACATGTCTGTGATAACTGGCATTTATGCTGAGCCAAATTCAAATTACTTTTATATTATCATCCCATGGACACCTTGATATATTTCCTTTAAGTGTTCCGATTAAACTTTTATATTCATATCTCCACTTTAACAAACCTATAAGGTTGTTTGAAAAGAGAAGAATTTAAAATTATAAAAGAGTGCTCTTTAACGGTCATGTGCTCACATAGCTCGCGGCGTGAATCTGCATATAGACCAATATTTCTGTCAGCCAGTCCCACCCAAGTCAATTGTGTTTAATGACGGGAAGAACGAGCCTGTGCTCCAATTATTCTCGTTCTGTTGAGTCTCAGTTGAACTTTGATGCACTGATTGCTTTCCCGAGGTTCGTCCTTTGTTTGGTTCGTACTACATGAGCCCTGGACGTCTGACTATCATATTAACCTAAGTCGAATGTACGAAAACGTGTGACTATTAATTTCGTTTTAATTCGGATAAACAGTGGTATGTGATGTTCTAAACATCTTTCAAAAACGTTCCTATGCAAAGCAGTATTATATTTCAAGCTGACAGATAAAAAGTTATCCCTTGCTTAACCACGGCATGAACTCATATGGTGAATTGGAGGTACATATAGCTCCTCATATTAACCCCGGCACGATGGAGGTGCGTGCGTGCTAAATGTATTTAAGTGTGCAAGGAGATGATAAATCTTTCAGAGTGAACACAAATTATAATTAACATTACATACATAATTTTTATTTCATTATGAAAAGTTTAATTTGCAGGTAGGAACGTGTTATTTGCAACGATATGTCATTTGCTTCCAGTGGATAGACGACATGAACTGTAGAAGTGCAATTTGTGACTTCGTCTCCCTTCAATGGGACAAGTCGTACCAGCTCTTAAATTGGATTTGAGGTTCTCATGGCGTATGGTCTGGTAGAATTTTAACAGCGTTTCAGAGGTCCTTGCTGTCTCCATCATCAGAGCGACATTGGTAAACTTGTACCAGACTATACGGCGCTACAACGCAGAAAACAGTAAACTTCAGCTTTAAACATCGCAATTATAAGTGATTCTGTAATATCAATAGTGTAATTAACCTTGACGGTGCGTCACCAACAGGCCGCAGATGAAATAAAACAGGAAATGACAGCAAAGTGGGATTCGAAACCCAGTCCCACGAGGCATGCAACTGTGCGAGGAGCTTTGCAGTTATCCGCTACAACTCGAAACGACCAGTCAGGAGCTCCTAATGGATGAAAAAGTGACGCCCCAGATTGTACTCACATAGAAATGAAGATCCCACAGCTCAGCTCCGACATTAAACACGCGTTACATCTGTGCCCCATTTCGAAGAAGCTAAAATTATGCACTTGTGATTCAGACATTGGTGTCGTCTCCCGAAACTTCAGCGCCATCGAGTATGCAGAGAATATATTGATCCCTACATTTGTTTTCTTAAATCACACGTTTTTGTGCGAAGTTCAGTGGCACATCCATTATCTTGGAGTTTGTTGGCCCCAAAAATATTGGCGTTCGATAACATTATCAGTACTATGATGGTCGCACTGTTGATAAATGGTGGACTGGAAATTGAGAATTCTAACTAATCGAACAACCACAATTTCAACAAAAGGTAGGTTAATAAATCGGTGACCTCAGACAGACACTGTACTGGTGGATGCTTAATGGCAGAATAGATCGAAAACTAATTATTAATATAGCAATAAGATTTGTAAGATTATTACATACCCTACGTCACTCTCTAGAAGGGTCTCTCAACCATTCTGGGCCCACGTTCATTTCATTAATTTACAACGGTTTACTTTAAGAAAACCCCCGGCAAATGACGTGTCCTCAGCTGATCCAAAATGTGCAAAGAGTTGGAGTTTCCAAGAAGGTTTCTTGCTTCGTTTGAACCCTTCATTGATCGATGCCGTGAAGTTCGTTGATTGTGAGTACCTTCTGTGCCTCTAGACTCTGCTCCCACGCATGCCAGCCCGCGCACCAATGCCAGATCCCATTGCACTGTTCTAAATATACTTCATCGTCTGGGATATCCTGAAATCCGGCCCCGTGTCGACCTTCACACGAGGACTTGCCTCATTTCTCTATTTTCTCTTGTTGCAGGAGACTTCTCCCTGGATATCTTCCCTGTGATGTTGGATGACGATGCTCGGTACCAGTGTCAAGTGGGTCCCGGACTCGCGGGAGAGCCCGGGATCCGCTCCAAGTTCGCGACCCTCACGGTTCTTGTACCCCCTGAACCACCTAGAATAGTACAGGGCGACTTTCTCGTCACGACTGAAGACAGGGAGATCGAGTTGGAATGTGTGTCATTAGCGGGGAAACCTGCGGCAGAGGTAAGGAACGCTTCTGTGACAAGATGCACAGTTTCCTAATCCGCACTGAACAATATTTCTTTTGACATTTAGTGTTTCTCAAGCCCAACCTATGAAATCTCCAGGGTGATTTCAGGCTGGATTCCTCTAATGTGCTTATGTGTGCTGTTTGTATATATATATCATATAAAACACACATTTTGCTGCGTGTATCTCTTCCCATCCTGGGAGGAACACAGATTGAAGGTGTTTTGGAACAGATAAAGGTGAACATCTGAACCTGTGAGGAACGAAGTAACAGGAGAATGGAGAAAATTTTTACAACGATAAGATTTATGACTGTACTCTTTACCAAATTCTATTGCGGTGATAAAATCAGGGATGGTAAAATAGGAAGGGCACATATAACACGCAAAAAGAGATACGAGAAATGTATACAAAAATTCAGTCGTAAAACTTGCAAGGAAAAGACCACGTGGAAAATGTAAGCGTAAGAGGGAGGGAAATATTGAAGCTGACCTATGTGAATACTGTAATACAGATATTTATAGATATTTAACAAAAACCGTGACATTTATTGTCGGTTTCTAAAGAAGGACGCTATTTCAAGGAGTTAGTGCGTGTTTCTGAACTTCACTTTTCGAGTCTCCGTGTAATATTTATGGATTATTACCCTCTTAACTCCCCTGCACAGTGACTACAATAATTTTGTTCTGTGTACATGTGTCTTGATGTGTATTCCTTCCGCAGTTGCGGTCAACGTCTTCAGTAACACTGGACATGACATTTGGTATTCGGAGTATGTTTACAGGCACTGCAGTGGTATGCTGCATCCACTGACTTGTGTTTATCTTATTTATATTTGCAAATTAAATATACCCCCTCAGCTGCTGACGTCTTTCCGTTTAATCGCTTATGTTTTACGAAACATTTCGCTTTCTGTAGATACTATACCCATAATTTAATACCAATTTTTAAAATTGGGCAGGCTATACAAAAGCATATTGTTGCTTCAAGATGACTGTCTTCTGACTTATAGTAGAAACTTACTGCCTCCATCATCAGTGCGAGGACTCGGGCGTGGCTTACTCATTGCCCTCATGATGGAGGCTGCGCAGCAAGTGTCTCTGAAACGTCGGCAAACGTCTTCCATACTACATGCCACAAAACCCAGAAAACAGCCAGCTTCGTATCTGTCGCCGTGAGAACCTGATATCTCACCGACTACCTTGTTTCCTTGGAATGAATGTCCAAGTTTAACACGTATATTATATAAGAGATAAAATAATTGTATGTACTCTTGAATTTAAGTTTTTTCTGAACGGCACGGGAGATAAAATGTACTGAAATGAACGGTAGCAAATTTAAGTCACGAACTTTTAGTCTCCAGCTATGTAAGCCTTAATTAAAAGTGGCATTTAATATTGTGCAATAAATTTTGGATTAATACTGAAGAACTGGATAAATTTTATAAAGGACTTTCAATATAAAAAAATGTATTAAAATTCCTTTAGCCAACTGGTTCATATCTACGAGCACACGAATACCGACGCTCCATGCTATCTGCGAAAACACCAACAAAGTATAACGTATATTATCCTTACATTCTTTCATGCTAATAAGTAGACAAGAACATATTGCCTGATCTTTCTAATACAGATTTCCATTATCGGAAATGTGTCACATTTAAAGTTATGTACAGTCGAGACATTTTTTCTCTTTATGTAATATTTCATTTAAAAATTATACGTGTTAATGGTGTATTATAAGACCAATTTTCATGTACTGGTGCTCAGTTACAGTGCTCCATTAGCCACAATTATCGAAGGAACTGTAAATATCGATTTCGAGCTGTCGCCATGTTGTCATATTTAGGGGTCAACAAATGTTGTTCCATGTCGTCTCGTACGTTATGCAACGAACTTGCCATTCGATTAAGGAAATATACCCCTAGCAAACACACTGCAAATTTCATCGAATTGCCTAAGGCAGTACTTACTAAAGGATAATGCAGCTTATTACAACCATCAACTCGATACAATGGTGCCACAACGAAGTATCTATTCTGTATCGTAACCCAGCTACATGTTAATATTAATTAACGCGGTTAGTGTTGTAACAGATATATACAATGTGAGACTTCAGGTTCTCACGGCGATGAGTGCCAAAATAACCGTCTTGTGGGATGTTTCGCCGTATAGTCTAGAGCTCACTGCACTGATGGTGGAGGCAGTAAGCACCTCTGAAACGTCAATAAACTTCTACCATACTATATGGCTCAATATCCCAGAAGACAGCCATCTTCAAAGTTACACGTCGTTGAATAAATGCACTAATAAAACTGAAATAGAGAGATGGCCTAAAGGAATATAACGGAATTCTATGTGAAGCTGGAACTAAAATCGAAAATATGCCAAGAAATTCATATGGCAAGGCTGAATCCACTAGAGATAGGATTGGCCGGAAATCGAATCTGAACCCTCCGCCAGGAGCTAAGTGATGCCACTCACGCCCAAGGAAACTACTCAATCCAGAAAATAATATTTCTCTTACTGCCTGTCAAGCCCTCAGCTTCAAACTTTATGCCCCTGGGATTGATGGGTCTCTCAGCACGGGCGTAGGGCGGGTGGCGATCTCTTGTGAAATGAGCGTACATTAAACTGCAGAAATCGATTTCACCAACAACTATAAAATTGAGAAGTTCAAACTTTCATTCGAGGACGGGACATTTCACCACAACTACTATAAGAAGGTGTTCCTGCAGCCTTTTAAGTACAGTGCTGCCGTCTGATTACTTTGCGTGATGCAGGCTATGCTGTTATAACGTTCGTCGATTCCAGTGAAACTGTTTTCAGCTGTGACCACGCGTCTTATTTTCGGGAATTCCACGTCTTAAATCACACCAGAGTGTTTCCGCGACCTTCTTTAGACACTCCAGATGAATGCTAGTGGAAATAAAACGAAAAAGAAAGAAATAACGAATCCATACAAATAATTAAAGAATGAAGAAAAGGCGAAAGGAACAAGGTGGCAGAAGGAAGAAATGCAAAAACAAGAACGAAGATAAAGAAACAACAGAACGAAGAATATAAAAAGGAAATAAATGTGAAAGGTAGGAACAATCGAAAAGGAAATAAATGAAAGAAATGAGTTTAGATAGAAAGGCGGGAATAAAGAAAATAAGGTAGGTTGAAGACGCCATGGTTCTCCTGCTTTATTGTACACAGTCGCAGCTCTCAGAGCAATTCTTCTTTTAGCTTTACCCAGTGTAATCTATTGAACTTCTGTTTTTAAATGCCGTACACAGACCTGTCTGTCTAAAGTCCCAGTAGCTTCATCATAAGCCCTTTACACAAGTGAAAGACACATTACCATAATCTGAGTTTACCGTCCACAGTATAATTTGGATCGAAGATGTGTTTAATGTTTGTGGACGACGTATCTAGACCAGATTAATGGGCTCTGTCTGTCGCGTACTATCCCCAACCCAGGAGTCATTTTTCACTTGCCACAACACGGAACGGAAGGTTTCCGTACTCACAGAAATATTATCTACCCGATGCCAACAGATGACGAGGGCAAGGGCGGATGTATGCTTTAGTATTTTAACGACTTCTAATTACGGCTTGATATGCCAATGTTCCAAATTCATCTGCTCATTCACTGCACTAAGACGAGGAAACAAGTCGTAAACTGAAATCAAGGCTTCGCTTTATTAAAATATTGTAAGGGGTGTGTATGAAACGTACTGAGCACCCGGCGAACATAACTAGTTCTTCGTTGTTTTCCTCAGCCCCAAGAAAATATCAAGCGTTCTAAATTAGGGTACGACCATTTATACTCGCATCGTTTCCAATTCATGGCTCAGTAATCCTCCTACTGTTCGACAATGGGTGATCTCAGTAACTGAAAGCGTCGTTAAATAAACCAAGAATAAATAAATTAATGAACGTCGCTGAAGAATTATTGCAGTCATGTCGAGACGTGTATGTATGCCTTGGATCTTCGCTTCATTTCAGCTACTCCATATGATATTCTGATAAAATGTAGGTGGTATAGATAACAGACTAGATGGAGCAAAGACTTTCACGAGAAGTTGAGAGTCGCTCAGCCGGTGATACAATCCTCCGCCTGTTACCATTGGCCTAGAAGTCAGATCGTGTGAAATGCAAAATTATCCCCCCCCCGTCCCCAACAATCGCATTTCTATTTTCAGGTATTTTAATAACAACTTTAATAATAATATGTGTCTTTTGTGTTGTGTACCAAACTTAGTTTCTGTATTCAAATCTAGGTGGTCGGGCGTCGCACGGCTAGCCAGACAAGAACATTCATCTCAAAGGTTCATTATCGTGCACATAAAACTCGGCCACTGGATCCTGTAGGCCTACTGATCCATATGAATCCAGTCAACATCCTCACATCCTATTTTAAAATACATCCTTAATGTTATCTTCACTTCTGCTCCTGGGTCTTCTATGGTCTCTTCCCATTTCAGATTACCGTCAGTGAAATTACAGAAACGCCACTGTAACACATTAGTTTCTTAAGAAATTAGTCCTTTTTGTGAGGATCCACGCACATTACAGTTCGTACTGAAAGCTACAGAGAGGGCATAAAGTAACCTGCAGATCGTGTGCAGAAAAGATGTTTCTTCGCTCCTGAAAAGCAATCATATACGACGAAGAAAATATAGTTATCTCTTGTTTTGCCAACCAATCCCAGACACCCCGGAAAACGAGAGTCGCATACTAAGAGCATCTTGACGAAACCGATGTGTTGGCAAGTCTCTTTGATAATTTCCACCTGCGTTCGATATCCCATCAGCCGGATGTGAATTCTGCTGCAGACACACAGTATTCAGGCTACAGCCTCCCCACAGCACTCGAGCCTACTTCCCGCCATGCAAACAAACACAAGTCACTTCTTCATGTCTGCAGTCTTCGTGTCGACGCAGCTTTGATATAGAAATTTGTTAGCGACAGAAAACATCGTCTGCACAAACACGACTTCACGGCTGT